AGCAGAGACTATGTGGTGTGCATGCTAACCGAACTGCAAGTAATTAGAGGGTGAGGGGGATGAGTACAAGAGAATCGGTCACAGTTTTCGTGGCAAAGGCTGGCAGCGACCATCCCTTCATAGTGTTCGGAGCAGAGACTGTGTGGTGTGCATGCTAACCGAACTGTAGCTGTGTGGGGACAGAATGGCGTGGTGCAACCATCAGCGTCTAGAGGAGCCCCTTCACTGTTTGTGGTAGAATCCATCTGATCTACACAGGGAAGGGACGCTGCTTTGCCATGTACAGGGGACGGAAAGGTTGAGCCGGACTTCCCTCCGACTGTAGAACTTGCAAGTGCACATGCTCTTCCTGATTGACCAGCCAGACCGAATGAGATTATACCGCCTGGTGATAGAAAGAGTTAATCTCTCCCACTGTGTGCACCCTACCCCAATTGTCCAATACGGTCCATGAATTATCCACAAAGGTAAGAGCACTGAAACAACCTGGACGATGCAAGATGTATGCACGAGTATTCGGGACCATGTCTGGCATATAACTCTGTGGGGCACGCTGGAGTTTTAGTCGTCTACCCAGGGTTGGATACCTGTTGACCGCCGACCCCTGGCTATGGCTGCCGTAGCAGCAGAAGCCCCAAACTGTCGCAACGTGCCAATCTGAACTAGCACCCTCAATAATTGGCAGCGCCAGCTCAGCGCCCGCACTGAAGTGCAGCACAGATGCCATGAAACCCTCCTGCAGCGCTGAACCTTTGGTGCAGCGTGCCCTTCGACGCTGGTCAGAGCCCCAGCTATGGCTGTTGCATGAAGAAGAAGAAGATCCAGGTTGCAGATAGAGCAGTAGCGCTCCCCTCAACCCGACAGGGTTTCACCAGCAATGAAAACGAGAAAAGACCCAAACCCAATCGACCTCTGCGTCTACTCGACACTCCAGGCCTACCTCCGACAACTGCCTGGCCGTATCTAGACCCAAAACCCAACCAGAAGGGGAACACAACCTAAGACTTGACAAAAACAAAGGCTGAAAGGCCTAAGACTACCCAATAGAGACTGCTAGCATCAGATCCCCGGATCAAGCCCAGTAGGGCTCAAAACTAGCAGACAAATCATACAAATCGCAGGTCACGGGATCCCGCAGAGCTCCAAACAAAGAAACAACATCACAGCCACACCTAGTTAGTGTACAACTCGTAAAAGGACTGCAATCCATTGCACTACTGTGGAAGACGACGTGCCTGATGTTCATATGTTCTTCCGATGTCTTCTGTAGGTGCCAATTAGTCATAAGATTATTGACCGAGACGTAAGCATGTTGGCAATAAGCTCCATCTATTCTCAAAATTGCTAACTTTTCATTCAAATGTGTGTATCTGATTTAAATGTGTGATTCTGATGTTAGTTTTCTTTTCCATGTCTTTCTCAGAAAATGTACTGGCTGAATGTGTGTCATAGGTGATCTGCATCTGTAATGACCTCTATGCTCCTGTGCTGAGATCTCTTCGGCAAGTTGCCAAGTGAGTATGTGAGGAATCAATGCAAATCGGAAAATAAGTTGAAATAACACAACTTTCCCCTCTTCCTCAGTTGCAGTCAAGTCCTGTAGGTGTACCTTGTCCTTTTTCAGGTTAGTGGTTCATTAGGGAAGTGAATATGAAACCTCTTTTTCCATTTTCTTTCTTTCTTTTCTTTTCCCTATCGTTTTTCCACCCTGTGAGCCTGCAGTTTCCTTGTTTTCAAAGAATTTGAGTTTATCACCCTATGAGGTGAGTTATTCAAAACACCACGTTTATTTTTCTTTTGCTTATTGCTTGTCAACTCTGGTTTAGATCTTACAATCGTGCTGCTGCCTAGTCGTACAAATTGCAATACCCCCGTCCTTAGCCTCATAGCACAGGTACACTCGCACAAGTGCCTCAAAGTCTAGACATTATCCTAGCAACCGACCATAGCAATCATTTTTCATGGGAGCCTCTATGGAAAAGGGTGATGCGACCTGTGAAATTCCGTCCACCAGATACCTTTTTCAAACTAAAAGTTATCGGAGGTCATGGGGGAATTAAAAAAACAGGCAAAGCAGCTGACCGTAATGTTTGGCTCATTCGGGCGTGAGCCCCAGACCTGGCCCAATGTTTTCAGGTCTTTCACTATGTTCATGTTTGTGTTGCTGGCAGATTTGGAACCCCAGGAGGCTTTTGGCTTGCCCAGGAGCTCTTAGTACATAGTTATAGCTGAACGGGCCTTGATTTCCAGTTCCCTTTTTGATGAAAATGACGTAGCTCAACAGTGAATTTTCACCTCAGTTGTTATAGTTGGTTGTACACGAGGTAAAGTGTGTTGTAAGGACCTGCCCAAACAGGACTGAGAACACAGCTGATTTCTGAGTTTTGCTGCTGGAATGAATGCCTTGCTGAGATTCCCGCTTTCTGCTGAGTTTTCTAAGTCTGTGTTTGAGGGTTGCAGGGGGGAAAGATACTCAAGTAGCAGGTAGGCAGGTACCACACCAAGTAGCGGAAGATGTGTCGGGTACTCGAGGCCGAGCAGAAGAAGACAAAGTTGGCATTTTTAGAGGCCTGGTAGTTGTAGGCTAGGTCTAGGCGGGTACCAGTCCAAGTAGTCTGAGTCTAGGGCCTGTACGGGGGATATCAGAGTCTGCAATGATGTTTTCCTCCGAAAAGGAGGAGGTACGGGTTGCTTGGAGGCTGCACTGCCTGGAAGTCACCACCCAAGAGGCAAGTAGGCCGCTATATCTGCAGGAGGAGCGAAGTGTTCCTCCTCATTTGCTGCATGCAAGTTTGGAGTCACGCCGCTGGAGCACTGATTGGAGCGCTGGAGAAGAGGAAGAGTGCCCAGCTCTCCACCTCTGCTATGGTGGAGGAGCTCGGAGGAGGAGGAAGAAGGGCTCTAGGGTAGGGGAGTGCCAGGGGTAACTTGCCAGGCTATGGTGGACGCCATCTTCATCTCCTTGGTGGGCGCTGCATCTGGAAGGCCCCCGTTGGGGTAGAGCTACACCAAGAAGCTTCCAGGCAGAGTCAGCCATGGCAGCCTGAGTGGAAGCATCCATAGCTGCTTTGTGTTGTCTTTTGCACATCAGGGCAAGGCCATAGCCTCGGCCTTCATGAAGAGGAAGGAGAAGGGTGGTCATGGCTATGGTGGACCTCATGCTGTGCCTGAAGTAGAAGAGGGATTTAGACATTGATTCTGGTTCTACCATTTATCATCATTATTATTATTTATTGTTTGAATAAGACGGGAGGATAATGTTCATCGTATATATGCAATCTCTAATTTAGAATATAAAGAAGATCTTCTTTGTATTCTTTTTTTGATAGTTCTATTAAACCTATTTATTATTATGAACTAGTAATTTCATTTGCAATGAGGAATTCAATCAAATTGATTTGTTCAAGAAAAAATAGCAAAAAGGTTCTCGTTGGAGGCTTGAGCATGTATGTGGCTGCCACGGGGTTCCCCGTGATACTCTCGTGACAATAAAAAAAGGCATGAAAGGCCGACCTGTCCTCAGGTCACTCAGGTAAGTGTCGTGCACCTATGGGAGGCCCATGTGTGTGTTTGCATGGTATTGATTGTCCTACTGGGGTAACTCTGGGTTTCTTTTCCTACTCCTCTGTGGTCTTGATTGTGTGTTTGAGTATGCAAACTGCTTTCTCACCTGAAGGATAGTGAGATGAAGTATATTGTTTTGCGCGGTATATCTTTTTACAGTGCTTTGTCTTTTTGTCTCTGAACGGTTGTAGTTAGTAGGTTCTCTCTGAAGTTGAAATTCGTTTTTCAATTCGGCAGAGGCAGAAAGTAGGTCCATGCGGGACCCCTCTTGGTTGGGACTCGGTCACGGCCTACGTGGGACCCTTAGGTACCCATTGGGGTTGGGCCCAAGCAAGAATGGCCCCTTAGGCCCAAATCTGTTTGACGTCAGTTCATTCTCTTTCTGTCTGGAATTCAGAGTCTTACTCTTTGGTTAGAGCACTCGCTACCAAGGGGATCTCGACTGAGACGTTTTGCATACTTTTACCGCACAGTCCGTGGGTTGGCTCGCACCTTATACACCAATCAATTCTCCATTGAGGTAGAGATCTCATTGACGGACTGACTTTCCCTCATGCATAAGACCTCGTTTCCACAACAGGCAGCAAAAAGCCTACAGGCGGCAGGCGGTTTCGAGGCAGCAACCGTTTGATGTGCATGACCTGTTGGATGCTGATGAGGAGGCCTATGCAGATGACCCCACTCTTGGTGACGACCAAGAACAGGACGTTGATACAACCTGTTCCTTGTCAGCCCATGAGTCTGACATTAACAACGTAGAGGAAAAACTTAATGTCTTCATAAATTCTGCCAATATGAAGGAACCAAACCGGAACTCAGGAAAGAACTTCATCGTACTCCCCAAGGGAGCCAAAATCCCAGCCAGGCCGGAGGATGCTACAACCAAACCTTGGTTGGAACTCCGGATCAGTGAAAACGAATGGAAGGCTAGGATTAAGAAGGGAGTTTGTCTGCATTGCCAGAAACCGAACCATAAAGTCCAAGGTTGCTTTAGGCTGCAGGGAAACTAGAATCGAGCGTAGAGTCGTTGTTAGCACACTTTACAGCAAGGGAGACTGAATCGGTAAATGGTAGTTCCTCTAAGGGACCTGATTATGTTCAGTAGTCCTCTCTCGAAGCCTCATTATCTGTTGATTCCAAGGATGATGCTTACAATCTTTTTTATGTTGAGCCTTGGAACGAGTTGAAGAAACTTAATCTCCACTATCACCTAGAGCATTGGGTTGAGATGAAACAGCAGCGTGCTCAAGGGACAGCGGAGTTGATCTTCTTCAAGCTTCTCATTAACCACCACTAACTTTGTGTCTTGGTTGATCGTGGTGTTAGTACTAACTTTCTCTCTCCACACAGGGTACGCAAGGTGGGTTTGGGAATGTAGCTAGTGGAATTGCAGAACCCTTGTCGGAACCAAGTAGGCAACAAAGATGTTGTCACCTCCACGCATGCGGTTAAAGGTGTGCTCATTACCTTTGACAAGGACAAAACTGTCACACACGAACGAAACTTCACGTCGTCGACAAGTGTCCCTTTGACGTGGTTCTTGGTTTGGGATGGTTAAAGTCCCAATGCGAAAGCACCAAGTGGAAGGACTCTGTCCTTTTGGATGATAAGTGGTCCGAGATGCTAAGGGGAACGAGCATCCTGTCTTTTTGGATGATAAGTGCGAATCCCAGTGACTTTTCTCAATGCCAAGAAGTGGTGCGAGCATGAGGAGGAGGAGCTATTGTATGTTGCTTTTGTTTGTCCTACTCATGTGCCTTCTCCTTTTGCGGCTAATACTAGTTCTACCTTGCATGATGTGTTTATTAAATTTTATTTCTAATACTTCTACTTTTATATCCACTTCTAATCCAAATGATTCTACTTCAAGTTCGATTGCCTTGACTAATTTGCAATCCTTATTTCGATCCACCACCCTCGAAAATCCCAGCAAACATCCAAACCTTGCACAACCGATTTTCGGAAGTCCTCGCCGAACCACGTGGAGTCCTCATGCGTTCGGTCAAGCACAAGGTCAAGTTGGTTGAAGGCGAGTTCCTCCAAAGGGTTGTGTGTACTGTATGGGACCCGGCGAGTTGGAGGAACTCTGGAAGCAAATTGATGAGATGATTGACAAAGGGTGGATTAAACCTAGCGAAAATGAATTTGGTGCACTTGTTTTGTTTGTCCAGAAAAAAGGAGGCAAGCTCCGAATGTGTATTGATTACAGTGGTTTAAACCACATCACGAGAAAAATTGCTTATCCATTGTCACGCATCAATAACTTGCTTGATGTTGCAAGTGGGTGCAAGGTCTTCTTCAAGATCGATCTCAAGTTTGGTTCCCACCAGATTGAGGTCAATCATGCAGACTAGCACAAGACTGCATTAAAGACTCGCGATGGGCTATACGGATTCACCGTTATGGCCTTCGGACTCGCGAATGCACGACCACCTTTCAAAGTCTCATGTACAAAGTCCTATGGGAAAAGATCAGTCGATTTGTTGCTGTCTATCTTGATGACATTTTGATCTTCAGCAAATCGATGGAGGAACACCTGAGACATCTTGAGGAGGTATTTCTCAAGAAAACACAGCTACACCTTTACTTAGAGAAATTTGAGTTTGGGAGGGGCGACATCATGTATCTTGGACAGCGGTTGTCTATTGCAGGCCTTGAGCTTGAGGCAACCAAGGTTGAAGTTATATGCGACTGGCCTCAACCGTCAAAGGCTGAAAAGAAATATTGCCTATGTTTTCTTTTACATCGGGAGAAATACGATCAGGAGGTGCTATATTTATGATGTTATTGATTCTTCTTTTTATATTAAGTACAATCATTTATGTGTCGCTCCGGCCGAGTGTGTCAGCCATACCTCTTGCAAACCCCTACGATAGGATAGGGTCACGCGAGGTACAACTTACCTCCACCTCTGGGAGCAGTCACCATCCCTTCGGAGGGTGTATCCCCA